AGGGGGAAAGAGAGGGACGGGGAGAGAGAGAGAGAGAGAGACAGAGACAGACAGAGAGAGAGAGTGTGTGTGTGTGTGTGTGTGTGTGTGTGTGTGTGTGTGTGTGTGTGTGTGTGAGAGAGAGAGAGAGAGAGAGAGAGAGTCTCACACACACTAACGTGCAAAGTCTTTTTTTTGCTATCAAATAAGCAATAAATGACCAATCAATAAGTCAATCAATTAAGTAGCTGGTGATCCAAAAGTAAAAAAAAAAAAAATGTAGGCTACCAGAGTGGCCCGGAAGCTTTTGCCTGACCGGGCCAGCTTACTCCCCTTTCCTCCATCTTTGTTCTTGGACGAACAAGAACCCGTTCATTCTCCCCACCACGGCCCTCCCCAACATCCCGTCCTCGTCTTTTGCCGCCCCAAGCATCCTTACCACGCCTGCAACGCTCTTCGACTGCAGACCTTTCTGCAACGCGGCAAACACAAAACAGGAGGGATGATGGCGAGGGGCTATCCGAGGATGAACTTGGCAAGGGGACTGTAGGAGATTCTGTAGAAAATCTGCCTGACTGGCCTCCACCGAATCTGTGTGGTCTCGCTGCTACTAACATCTGCCTGCAAGCCTATCGTCGGGAACCATATACTCACTCTGATTTCTTGGCCATTGCTTCTGATCTTGATGGTCAGGAACATGAGTTATATGGCGATAACCCGGCTCTGCATCCCCCACAGGATAGTAATTACACTCGACATGGGGGATTCAATGTCTCTGTTTTGGAGACTGCTTTGATAAGGGCCGGCTTGATATGCAGCGTGCCCCTTCGGGTGGCGACCCGGACCACTGTTCGCACGTTTGTGCCTATATTCTACATACTCCTGGCCACTACACCGCTCTTGTCCGTGCCTCTGGTTCTTGGGAATTATGGAATGGAGGTGCTATGGTGCAAACTATTACTGCCATCTGTGATCTCGTGCGTAATTACCCTAACCTGCAACTGTTCCAGGTCATTGACCCTATGGGTACCTCGTGTACTTCCATGCCCGCCTCTACGCCTATCTCTGTGCCTGCCTCCGTACCTGTCTCTGTGCCTGTTTCTGTGTCTATCTCCTTCCATATTACTGACTTTGTGGGTACTACGTGTACTTCCGTCCCCGCCTCTGCACCTGTCTCTGTGCCTGCCTCCACACCTGTCTCCATGCCCATTTCTGTGTCTGTCTCCGTGCCTACCTCCATGTCTGTCACCGTGCCTGCTGTAGTCTTCATTCCCCCACATGCTGCACTAACACCTTGTGACCTTCTTCTTTGTGAGATCACTGACACAGTTACACTTGGTTGTGGAAAGCATCGACTTTGTCGACATCACTACAACCGTATAATTTTTCGGGCCCGTTGTCGGCAGGGATGCCACCTGTATCCGGATTGTGAACATCCTCTACATCCAGATGCAGTATGTCCCATCTGTGCCTGCGGGCGCTATAGTGAATGTGCACTTAACTGTGATGGTGAACGCCCCACAATCGTCATGGCCTGCAACCGGCATGCCCTCTGTCGTGCATGCTTAGAGGTATGGTTAATGCTAGCCGCCCTGGCTCCTGCTGTGACGAAGCTGCTTACCTGAATGGTTTTCGTCCTGTAGATCAGCGGGAGGGCTGCTACCATCGCCCGCATCCTTATGAAAGTTGTCCTATCTGTCGTGAGGGTCTTACTTAGACGTACCTTGCACCCTGACAAAAATGTGCAGGCGCGCTGAAAAGAGTGTACAAGAATGTGCAAAGGTGGGGAACCCTTCACTAAACTGTGAAGAATGCAGTAAAAGAAGAACATAAGTTTGTATCATCTTACTTTGTTTGTACCCTGCACCCTAACACCCTCAAAAGAAAAGTCCGAAGGGTGAAAATGAAGATGAGAAACGAAGAAGGAAGTGCAGGTGCGCTGAAAAGCGAACGTGGTAGAGTCTTCACCAAAACTGCAAAACTGTGAAAGAAAGAAGAATGCAGTGAAAGAAAGAAGACGTTTGAGTCACTTTTTTTTGTTTTTTCTCCCTCTGCCTACCGGTTTTCCTTTTCTGCTCCTCTCTTCCTTGTGTTTAACACCTCTTCCTTTACTCTGCCTCTTTCCCATAGCGTGCAAGTGGGCTGTTATGGCATACGGGGATGGGGGCAGCTCGCGCTCAACTTCATCAACGTGGCGAGCCTTGTACGTTAGAGGCATAGTGGAGGAGGCGTTAAGAAGACTGAGAAACTGAATGATTTCAATGTGTCTTTGTTTTTTATTTTTATCCTTTGATTCAGTGTAAATTTATTTTATTTTATTTTTTGGTTTTTTGTTTTTCTTTGTAAAACACTGAAAGAAATAATAATACTGTGAAACAAAGAATAAGAGGACACCGTTTTGTGTCATTCTGGTTTTTCTGTCTCTTTGCCTGTCTGTCCTTTCATTTTTCTTTTCTTTGCTCATCTTATTTCTTCTTCTACTTCACGTGCTTACGCTCTTAGTCAATAGTTCTGTGACAATATATATTTATATATATATATATATATATATATACATATCGCTGTGACCCCGAGGCAAAAGTTGTTCAGTTTATTTTTCTGCATAACATAGTTTTTTTTTTGGATTTTTTTGAGGGGCTTTTTTTTTGTTTTTTGGCGTTTGGGTTCGGCCGAACTCGTCTCCAAGGAGTGCCGAACGTTCGGCCGTTCGGGTTCTCTGCAGTTTGGCTGGACCCGAATACCGGCTACCCTGAATGGAACAATACAGAAAAGATTACCATGGCAAAAAAAAAAAGAGAAAAAAGACGTAGGTTGTTGACAGTCAGAGAGGAGCTGTGTAAAAGAGCTGTACCACCACCACCGTCTTTTACCAGATACAACACACCCCGTTACTTATCCGTACACACCACCTGCAATGCACCCCCACCATCTTTCCCCAAACACCACACCCTCAACATGACTGCACCGAGCCACAAAGATGGTTTGTATACATTCATGATCTGGATGTGTTGCGTTCCAGGGAAGACACTAGAATTGTTGCCCCATATGTCCACAGTTCAAATCCTTCCAAATTCTGCGCCCAGAAGTCAACCAACAGGCCCCAAATATGTCTTACTTGTACCGAGTGGAGATGAAATTGCTCAGCGATGTCAGCATTCTATTCCCATCCCTTTCAAAGATACACGTGGGCCAATGCCCCCATTCTTCTTGGGGGACAGAAGACTCATTCCCTGGGGCGCCAAAAGCCAGATTGCATCACCATGTATTTATCTAACTTTATTTAACAACTGGCTACACAACTCCAAGCTGCAAAAATGTGTAGCATCATAGCTCGACTCTTGTGCATTCTGAATCACAGAGCTGAGAGCACCCATTTTATTTCTCCTATCTCACCTGCACGTTTCCATGCGCCAATAGACCTTTCCTCACAAACCGGACTGCTTCCGCACTGAAACAGAAACAAGTCAAAGACAGGTCAAGTCATGGTCAGTAAGCTAATCAAACAGGCGAACGGGCAAAAAGAAGACCTGACAGACAAAGCAAACACATAAAATCATTAAAATGTCCTTCGGGACATCCATTAAAATTGGAATGGCACAGAGAATGAAGAGGACAACATGCATAAATCCAGAAATGGACCAAATGGCAAATGGCACTTTTTTTTTCTCTCTCCAAAAAAAAAAAAAAAAGCAAACACCTAAAGACTGGGGTAAAGGGGCGATAGTAGGGATAATGCTTCCCCACATCCATAGAAACAAATCAAGACAGGTCCGGTTGCCAGTACGATCATCAGAGAGGCAAGTGAGCAAAGTGATCAGGACCTGACAGACAAAGCAAACGCGTAAACATTCGGGGGAAACAGGGGCAATAGCGGGGGTGGGGAGCAAAATGTAGGCATGAAGAAGAACAGGGATTCAAGGAAGAGTGGGCCAGGAAAGTGAACACGAGCGAATGTAGTCGAGCAATTGGTGAATGTAAGGCTTTTTAGCATACTTGCGGCGCAGTGGTGCCGTGCGCCGTGCAATGCGTGTGCGCCATGCGCCTTGCGCAAATTACTGCTGCGCTAATGATGCGTGCATGGTTTTTTTTTTAAGGCAGGAGAGAGAGAGAGAGAGAGAGAGAGAGAGAGAGAGAGAGAGAGAGAGAGAGAGAGAGAGAGAGAGAGAGA